CCCTACACAGCAAGGGGGCAACAAATTCGTCCATGTGATCTCTACATCTTGGAGCACATGGTTCTTTGAACACAGTGAACCATCGCTGTCAACACAGTGAGCCTAAGAATCTAAAAGCTTATCAGCTGATAAGCACCAGATGGAGAAGTTTATCTTTGTTGCAAAGCAACATTAGCCACATTGTAATTATCTATCGGGGATTACAGAGAGGCTTTAGCTTTTAAAAGAGACTGAATGTACATTCTTTGTCATTAGGGATTTTATATATAAGAAAACATGTGTAACTGCCAGTGTATTTGCACTGAAATAGCACCACTGCAAAAGCATTTTTTTTTCTAAAAAAAAAGGCAGAAGCTTGTGTGTGAAATTCTCGTTGAATAGAAGTGGGCAATCTTAACCAGAGAAGACAGAGGCACAGCAACTCCATGTAGAATAATTAAGATTCTCTGGCTACTCGACCTATAGTACTCGCTGACATGCTGTGTAGAACTTTTCAATCCATTTCCTCACTGTTCCAGAATGAAACACAGGGCGCTGTGCCCACGTGCTTCGCGTTACAGCCATCCCTTGCGTTTCTGATGTTATTAGGTTTGTGTGGCAATTACAATGGAGACACTACAGACGACTTCCTGACTAGCATGGATATCACCGAAGGGACAGCTTCCCTGTTTGTGGATTCCTGGAGGGCAGGAAATTGCCATCCTGCTTTAGAGAGAGATACTGACCCTTGTGCTTTGAGTCAGCTGAACAGTAAGTAGATGGGTCTGCTCTAACTGATCTCTCCAGCTACCTTTGACACTTCCATAAGCCCATACTGGGAGAATGAGAGAGTTTGAGAGAAGCAGAGGCTGTTCTGACTGAACATGATGAGTTCTATCACCAACAAGACATTTCTGATTCCTAGAATACATATCTAGCGAAAGCTTAACAGATCCCATTTCAAAGGTCTGCGATTGCGATGATGAATGAGATGGTTTTGTTGATATTTCCAATGATATTGCAATGTCCATGGATGTCTTAGACTTGCTCAACAGTTCTATGACTGAAATCCATGCTTTGCCTTCCCAAGTGCCTATTGCTATTGGCCTAGGAAAAAAAAAGAAAAAAACCAAAAAACTCCTACTGAGCCGTCTGAATAAAAGCATGGTCTGCAAGCCAACAAGCTAAAAAGTGAAAAAAAAACCCAAAAAACCCCTACTGAGCCATCTGAATAAAAGCATAGTCTGCAAGCCAACAAGCTAAAAAGCTGTCTTTTGTTCAACCCATCTTTGCCAGAAGCTTAGCAAGCACGTGCATTTTTTTCATGTCCTTTTTGTTTTTTCATTTCTTTTTCCTGACTTTCTCTGTTTAATGTCTGTGATTTAATTTCAACAGAAATATCTGCTGAGACTCATTGCTCCGTTCTTACCAAGAAGGGTACAGTGTTCGAGAAATGCCATGCTGTGGTGAACCCCCTTCCTTTCTACAAGGTAGGAAATCATGACAGTTGTTGTACAGAGGGACTCCAAATATGGATCATTGCATCCAGTACCCGACTCGTTCGGATCAGCAATACATAGAAGTAAAGGAATGAGCGTGATTTTGAAAATTAGGTTTCCTCCACACTAAAAGTTTCTTTGTTCATAGACACCCGTCTCATCCCTATAAATCAGAAGGTATTTTTGCTCATGCTGCAGTTCTCCACACCGACAACTTTACTATGTAAAGTACTGATTTTCCCACGTGCATAACCAAGCTCATTATATTTGCCAATCTCCACAAAACATTTTGAAAACTGAAGATGAAAAGTAGTGAATAAAAGGCATTTTTTAGGTACTAAGTCTATTTTATTCATGTCAATCAGGCAAGGAATCTAATATTTTTCATCAGTTTTTGTGATGCAATAATACGTATTTTTGCCTTACTTCAATCCAGCGTAGAATCACAGAGTCATTTAGGTTGGAAAAGACCTTTAAGATCATCGAGTCCAACCACAAACCCAGCACTGCTGAGTCCACCACTAAACCATGTCCCTGTGCAGCACATCTGCACAGCTTTTAAATATCCAAATGTCTGCTCCCCAGTAACAGAGTGTTCTGCATGTGTTGGATTTCAGAGATGCGTCTACCAAGCCTGTAATTATGAAGAGACTTTTCCTTACATCTGTTCTGCTCTGGGATCGTATGCACGAACATGCAGCTCAATGGGTTTGATCCTTGAGGGCTGGAGAAACAGCGTGGACAATTGTAGTAAGTAACTGAACCAACTCTTGATAATCTGCCATCAGATGAATGCATGCCTACAGGTCTTACCAATTTCCATTTACAATATTCCCATGCTTGATTCACTTCTGACAAAACTAAGTAAAAGCAAGAATGCATTTTAAAACTACTTGTCAGTCATTAGAAAATAACTACTTACTGCTCAAGCAGGCCAACCAGCATGTATAAAAGCCACGTTCCCAGGAGCTGCTGACTTCACAGATGCGTCATAACACATAAAACCCTAACACGTAAATGGTAAAGCGGTGTTCTAAACAGCATTCAAATAATCTTAACAGTAATGAGGAAAGTAATGAACAGAAAGAGGAGGAAAGCAGAAAGGAGATAACAGACAGGCATTTTTTGAATACCATGCTATTCTGTTTCAGAAATGCATTGATATTTTAAGATTATATGAAAAAGATTACTTGTATGCTTTAAGGTGAGCAGGTGGATGCTTCCAGGACTTGATAAATAATAAGTGATGGCATAGACAGATAAGATATACTCTACTGTAAGAGGAGAAAGAACTCAGGTTGCAGGTGTGATTTTGCTATTTAGCAACATAGATATAGGCACAGGTTTCATAGTTACTAAAAAATACATCAATATTTCTACTGAGCTTCTCTTTGTGTTATTTGATTACAGGATACACCAAGAAGCAATAGGATCTTTAATCTTCATAAACTTCCAAACAGCTACATGGTTGGCTTTAAGCTCTGGTCTGCAAAGTTTTTTTCTAGAGCTCCACATCCACAGAGAAGAGATAGGAATCATTAAGCATTGAAGCTGTTGACACAATATATGCAGCATGTGATGAGCACAGTTATCTTTCACGAGAAAGAGGATAATTAAATGAAACTTAACATACTGTCTTGTCTTGGTTTACAGCCATTGCTTGTGCTGCCAATCAAACATTCAGCTACAACACCCAGGCATGTGACAGGACGTGCTTGTCACTCTCCAGCCGAGCCCTGGAATGTCATCCGACTGACATCCCGATCGAAGGCTGCCACTGTCCGAAAGGGACCTACCTGAACCACAAGAACGAGTGTGTTCGTATCTCTCACTGTCCCTGCTATTTAGAAGATAGAAAGTACATCTTGCCTGACCAGTCAATAGTAGCTGGTGGGATTACCTGGTAAGTGTGTCAAGTGTAAAGATTAACAAACTGCACATGGAGACGAGGGGTCTTCATGTGTCTCTGTCGAGAGTTAAGAGCAGCGAGCAGCTCAGCATCGCACAGCCACTTGCTCTCTCCACCTCAGCTGGCTGCAGAAAAAAATAAGGGCAAAAGCAAGAAAATTTGTGGGTTGAGATAAACACAGTTTAATAACTTTATTATTAATAAGCAAAAATAAGCTTACTTAATAAGCAAAGCGGAATGTGCAATCAAAGCTAAGTGAGGAATTAATTCACTACTTCTCATCAGCAGGCAGACGTTCAGACATTTCCAGGAAAGTATGAATTTGTCATACACAGTGGTTACCTGGGAAGACATGCACCATAACTCCCAACATCTCTCCTTCCTCCTTCTTTACCTGAGATTTTATTGCTGACCATGATGTTGTACAGTTTGAAATATCCCTTTGGTCAGGTGGGGTCGGGTGTCCTGGCCATGTCCCCTCCTGACTTCTTGTGTACTCTCAGCTTACTTGCTGGTGGAGCTTGGTGTGAGGAGCAGAAGCAGCCTTGGGTCTGTTCAGCAATAGCTAAAACAATGTTATCAAAGCTGTTTTAGTCACAAATCCAAAACACAGCATCATCGAGCTGCTATGAAGAAAATTAACTCTGATTCAGCCAAAACCAGTACAGTCTCTTTTAATTTTAATAGCAAAGGTTTATTTTTTAAGACATCTTTTTTGGCCTCTTCTTAAATAAAGATTCTCAAATGAACAAAAACAGCATTTGACTTACCTTAAGCTTGGAAACATTAAGGAAAAAAACATGAGAAAATTATAAGATCTGATTATTCCTAGTAGGAGATTTTGTCAACAGCATCTGGAGAGCTGTACACAAACCCCAAGGATAACTTGATAGGCCATCGTAGTTGTGAATGGCCTCCTATTCACTTTCCAAACACAGTGTTACTGTGTACTACAGAAGGTAGAGAGACAAGCTGATTCATGTTCCATTTTGAAGGATGGGGAGGAGCTAGTTACATAAATGAAACATTTCCAAACATAAAGCCATTTTGCCAAAGATTAAAATTTCTGTCTTTGGAGAGAATTGCACTGAAAATCCCTTTTTTGTTTTTTTTTTTTTTCTTTTTTTCCTCCTAGCTACTGTGTTAATGGGAGACTAAGCTGCACAGGCAAACCTCAAAATCCTGCAGGTACAGGTCTGATATGGTTTACTTAGAAACATTCTTTTCGCTTACCTTGTAACGTTGCTGCTTCACAATCTCTCCCATTTTTGTTTTTCCTCTCCTTTTCCTAGAAAGCTGCAAAGCTCCTAAGAAGTATATTTCATGTTCTGACAGTTTAGAAAACAAGTATGGAGCTGCATGTGCCCCTACCTGTCAGATGCTGGCTACTGGAATTGAATGTGTGAGTGTCACAGCTCTGGGATATTTATCCTCGTCAGAGAGGAAGAGTGTTCTAGTTGTTACTTAGAACTTGTCTCTGTTCCTTCTAGTGAAACAAAAGGAGATGTTTATTCTACCATGATACAGTTAAACATCAGATTTCTTTCCACGGGCTGTGGACACAAAAAATTGGCATATATTCAAGAAGTAATTGAAGGAATTAAACTGCATGAATTAATGGATTAAATTCTATTAAATGAATGGAATAAAAATCCATTAACCTTATGGCTATGACCTCTGTCTTGGATATTCCATGACACTGGAAACTGGTTGAACATGTGATTTATGCCTCCTCTTCTACCCTTTCCCAACTATCTACTGGTCCCAAGCTGCAGGACACCCAGCCTAGGTGGACTTCTGGTCTGTCCTGATAGGGTTTTCTTATGCCTTTACATTGAGGAAACAGGCTAATTGGAAGAATTGTAATAAGCTTCCTCAATATAAAGAAACTTCTATTGTCTGAAAGACTGGTAGCAACAACAGATAAATTTTTCAGAGTATTCAAGTGTGTTTAATATCTCACGCAACAGATATATCTTGCAACTGCAATGAAACTAGATCAATTGGCTTGTGTATCAGTACAAAGGAAATCACAAATCTGAAATTGAGTCAAAACTAGAACTTAGCACAGGTTCACTCTTGACACCACTCACAGACAAAACATAACTTGCATTTCTTTAAATCTTGCAATCTGTTCATCCTTACCAGAGACCCACTAAATGTGAGTCGGGCTGTGTCTGTGCCGATGGGCTGTATGAAAATCTCGACGGCAGGTGTGTTCCAGCTGAGGAGTGTCCATGTGAATATGGTGGTCTTGCGTATGGAAAAGGTGAACAGATCCAAACGGAATGCGAGATCTGGTAAGAATCACACAGTTTTTCACTGTTGAACCTCTGTTTCACTGAACTGTACAACTCTATAACAGGTGTGTAGTTGGCAGGAGAGTAGGAAAGGGCAACAGCTGAATGAGACTGGGTAAGAGAGGGGATAAAGAAAAGCTTAACATATGACTATATATATAGATATGCATAAATAAAATACATATATTTGACAAAATATGTATGTATAGATAAAAGAGTCATGGTACTGCCTTATCCGTATCCAGGAATAAGGACATCGAGTAGATGTCATCTTAAAGTCATTTTTAACATCATCTTTAATGACTTTGGTTTTCTTCTTTGTCATTTTTTTTAGGCAGTCCATAACTTCTAGTTCTTGTATTAATTGTAGTTTACTCACAGTTGACACAATTGCACATATATAAAAAGCAGCAGGTTAAGGTGGCATTTCTTTGAGATCTGAGCGTGGTTCCTCTTCTCACTCTCAGCACATGCGCAAAAGGCAAATGGAAATGTGTTCAGAAATCAAAGTGTTCCTCAACGTGTAATCTGTATGGAGAAGGCCACATCACCACTTTTGATGGACAGCGTTTTGTGTTTGACGGCAACTGTGAATACATATTAGCTATGGTAATGTGCCTCATGCTTATTTTGGCAGTATCTTAGCATGAAGAAATAGCTCGATCCAAATGGCTAATGAAAATATCCTTTGAATCTTTATAAACTGTGTTTTTGTATTTTCCATTTATTTCAATACTTAAGATGGAAAGACTTTACTTCCCAAGCCATTTTTTAAATGTAATTACTAGTAACCAATCTTAGATTTAATAACGTTTAAATAGTCATGGATATATATGTATTCTGTACCGGGCAATTATATCTTTTAGGGCAGTGATGTCAGTTTGACTACCATCCTCATCACTTCCCAAAACAGAGAGAATCAGAGTCCTGACACGTTTAAGCTTTCTTTACTTTTTTATGTTTTTATGCTTTAAGTTGGAAGACTACAGACACAGAGTCTATTGAGTTTTTGTGCTTTTTGTGGATTGCTTTGTTGTTTTTTTAGGATGGCTGCAGTGTTAATAGACCTGTTTCCTCTTTCAAAATCGTTACTGAGAATGTCATCTGTGGGAGGACAGGGGTTACATGCTCCAGATCCATCAGCATTTACTTTGGGGTAAGATCTTCATCCTGCTGTTACTCAGCTGAAGTGCTATTTTAAACCCATGTTTGCCTCCCTTTAGCTGCATCTTTGAAGTGATGCCTTGTAAATGAATTTAGTTTATAACCCTAGACCTTCAGTTTTAGTAGGAATTGCTTTTTTCAGCTCTCAGGTATGTTTCAGTCCCCAAACTTCTTTCCTACATATAAGCCATAAAGTTTTGAACCTCATTGACTCAGAAGTGAATTTTTTGGTCAAAAGATGCTGATTGCCCCTCGCCACCACAGCCAAACTCAGGAAAACAACAACAAAAAATAAGGAATTCTCCTCATGGATGATGAGCAGCTTCAGCTGCTGGTGAAAAAGTTTTTTTGCTTAGGATCCAGCTTCATAAGTGCATGCTCAGGACAACCCTTTTTGTTGGTTATCTAGACACTGAAACACTGAACTATGACAGGAGCAAGAGTACACATGAGAGAGTGAAAGAGAAAAGAGCTCAACATAGAGCTATTTTCTCTGTAACTTTTTGAATATTCTTAGCAACACATGAAAACATACTTCCTCTACTCTGGCTGCACCCAGATGATATTATTTCCAACAAATGCAGTCAGAGAGCTAGCACGCTTCTCCAGCTTGTCCATGTCCCTCTGGATAACATTCCATCCCTCAAGAGTGTCACCTGCAGAGTTGCTGAGGGTGCGCCCAATCCCACTGTCCATGTCACTGATGAAGATATTAAACCACACTCGTCCCATTATGGACCCTTGAGGGACACCATACGTCACTGATCTCCGTCCAGGCCTTGAGCCATTGACCACTACCCTCTGGGTGCCACCATCCAGCCAATTCCTCATCCACCAAACAGTCCACCCATCAAATCCGTATCTCTCCAATTTAGAGAGAAGGATGTTGTGGAGGACCGAGTCAAAAAACAGTTTGTAGCAGCACAGCATTTTACAAGCAAGAGTAAGTAAAATACTGAAACTTGAAAAGGTTTAACACCCAGGTACATTTTTTCCCCAGAATTTGACAATCATACTGCGAGATGAAACCTTCGCTATTTCCGGGAAGAATCCTCAAGTACGATACAAAGTGAAGAAGAATGCCCTTTACCTGATGTTTGATGTTGTTATCCCAGGAAAATACAACATGACCCTTATCTGGAATAAGCACATGAACTTCTTCATCAAGATCTCCAGAGAAACACAGGTACTGCAGAATAACTTCCTGAGTACACTGTCCTTCAGCTCCGATGGACTTGACTCAGATGCCTTGACTCCCTATGGTGGCAAAGGTTTTTCAGGATGCTACTACTTTCAGAGATGCTAGGGTGTTGGGTTTTTTCCAAGATGCTACTAGCAATTTATTTTCCTCATTATCTCCAAAACAGCAGAGATTAAGTGATTGCCCTACCGCATTCAGGAAATTTTTGAACTAAGTCCTTTTATTTTGTACAACTGCATGGCTGAATTTGATCTCTAAAGGATGTCAGCTTACCGTCTAGAGGAGAAGCATTCATTCACTGATGAACAGACCCTCGTACACAAGACACTAAGGATGTATGAGAGAATATTTGTAGATCACATTTGCTACTAAAGCACAGAAAACTGCCAGGAACCGCAAGGTTGCTCAACTGACATTGCTGCTTTCATTTAAACTAGGAAACGATATGCGGTTTGTGTGGGAACTACAACGGCAATATGAAGGATGACTTTGAAACTCGAAGCAAGTACGTGGCATCAAACGAATTGGAATTTGTCAACTCTTGGAAAGAGAATCCTCTCTGTGGGGATGTATACTTTGTGGTGGACCCCTGTAGCAAGAACCCTTATCGCAAAGCTTGGGCAGAGAAGACATGTTCCATCATCAACAGCCAAGTCTTTTCTGCCTGCCACAATAAGGTACAAAACCCTTTGCCCTTTTTATTACAAGCATAATTTGTATTCTTCCAAAACTCTCACACTCCAACACTTGATTTTCTCTTCTCCAAAATGTCTTCGTAATATATATAGAAAATGTTTTATCGCCATGTTTGACTGAAACATATATAAGATGTTTTATGGCTCATTTATATTAGTCTTCGTCCTTTCTTATTTGCACTCCACCAGCCTTTCTGTAAGCACAGAAGCTAAGTATGGCATTAACTGATGAGCTGAAAGTATCAGAGTGAAAAAAGAGTGAAGACTTAAGTATCAAAAACTAGTCAGTCAGCTGGTGATGCCTGATACTGAGCAATGTGCTGTTTAGCCTTCTGAAACCATTTTGCCTGTTTTAGAAAACCAAACTTAAGAAAAGCCTGAAACCTCTTGTAAATCAACAGCATTACTTAGAAGATGCACAGCAGCCCAAGAGCAAGATATCATTGGCCCTCCTGTTTGTTTTAAGTTGCCCATTTTCTGGAAATGAAAATACGGCAAGGTTCATCAGAACCAGACCTTCTGAAGGAAAAAATCCCTGTTCTCAGGAGGTGAAAACAAGTGAGAAATGTGAATAATGCTGCAGTGCCCATGCATGTCCATGGAGGGCAAACAGCTGATGAACTCAGACACGTGTGCCTGAACGGATGTGGGCGGTTGGTTGGTTGGGGTTTTGTTTGTTTGTTTGTTTTTTTAGCTGACTATACATACATGTTCAGGACTAGCATGAATTTAGAAATACACCTATGTTCTTGCTAAAAAAGGTTTGTATGGAGTGGGATTGTAATTGCTCTAACAAGCATTTGGAGGAAATACTTGTTGCTCTCACATAACGCGTATTGCTTAGCCCAGGGAAAAACCTCTTCTTAACACAGAGGCACAAACGAATCCCAGAGAATTCCTTACCTTATTTTCCAATGCAGGTGAATCGCATGCCCTACTACGAGGCCTGTGTTCGAGACTCTTGTGGTTGTGACGTTGGAGGGGACTGCGAATGCATGTGTGATGCCATCGCTGTGTATGCCATGGCCTGCTTAGAGAAAGGCATCTGCATTGACTGGAGGACCCCTGAGTTCTGTCGTGAGTGGTTTTAAGCTCTCTTAAAACAGATTTAAAAGATTATTATTGTTACAGCCAGTATATTAATGTGGCAACATAGGTAATTGCTTAATAAGCACCTCCTAAGTTGCATTTTCTGTATGGGCAAATAGTTGACCTCAGTCACCTGGGTTTTGAAATCTGGAGTTTTCTTTTGTGCTAAATTAACTGAATTATTCTCTCTCATTTTACCACATGAGAGATAAAATAATGTGATCACAGAAAGGAGACCATTTGTTCTGCTGCCACTGTATAGTGTCAGCAGAGGGAGTATGAAACGATACAAAAATATGTTTCATTTCAGCTATGATTAAATCATCTTCTCTGTGGATGTCAAGGAAACAAAGACAACTGTGTTGGCTGGAACTCTGTAAAACAGGAAAAAGATATCAAGGTGTTACAGAATACCACGTGTAGAGGAAAAAAGAGGATGAGTGTGTTACAAAACAGTGCTAGAGTTGTCATCTTTAATGGTTTCTTTTCAGCATTTCACTATATTACGCATTAAAAAACTGGAAATGTCTGCATTTGCAAAAACGAAACTGCCTTCACTGGAGCATAGATTTCAATTTTCATCAGAAGCCAATAGCTTCAGTGACCTTTTTTTGATTCAAAAATGTTTATTAATTTTGTCCTCCCTTTCATCCTTGGAGAATAACTTACCATTAACTTGAGAAGTTCTGATTTCTCTCTTGCTCTTACCTTTTCTAGCTGTCTACTGCGAGTATTTCAATTCTCACAAAACAACAGGAAACAGTGATGCCTATTCCTATGGCTACGACGGCAACTGCACCTGGCACTACAGGCCTTGTAACTGTCCAAATCAAAACTACAAATATGTCAACATTGAAGGTAATAAACCCTACTAGCCAGGTAACAGTAACATAGTCATTCTTTTCAAAGCCATTTTTTTCAGATCAGTCACACCACGGTTAAATAATGGTATTCTGATGGATGACATCTTTGAAGCAGTTTTGCTGATCCTTACATTACTACTAGTGCTTTAAACACATAATCAGTTCAGCACCTCCACTACATGTCACTTTAGATTGAGCTTTCTTGAAGAGAAATTCTCTGACTCGCACCACATCAGAAGAATACACTGTACTTAAGGAACAAAAAATGTGGAGAGAGTAGCTAATATTTTTACTCAGCGGATGGATATAGCATAGCAACCAAAATAATTACTACTTAGGCAGACCCTTCTTCCCAGGATGACATTGGAAATGCTTACCTAAATAGATGATGCTACAGTCAATACGATTTTTTAATAACAGAAGTGTAAGATGCTAGATCATAAATAGTATAAATTAAATGCCGTTCTCTGAGAAATGTAAAACAAGCTTTTCTCCTCTTTCTTCAGGCTGTTACAACTGCTCTTATGATGAATACTTTGACTATGAGAAGGAAAGGTGCATGCCATGTGGTAAGCAGTGACTTATATTCTCTTTCTCTATATTAACTGGAAAAAAATACTAAAACATTTGTGCATTCTCAAATAAGGTATTTTTCCTAGCACCTCTCAACTAATAATGAGTGTTCATCCAAACACAACTTTCCTTCAAAATAACCCCCTTACTTTACCGCTAGTATGTAAAACTTCAGCTGGTAAATAAAGGAATTAAGAGAACTAAAAAAAAACCATAAGAAAATCTTACTCATGTTCGTTATTAACATGAGATGTATTGATTTCTTTGTCATTGTTTAAGTCCTTTGATGTGAAGTTTACCACAGAAATATAGAATATTAAGCATTTTCAGAAATATCTCACTAATTAACACAATCCTTTGAATCCAGTCTGAAAATTGCCTTACTTGGAATATTTTAATATGCTTGCATTCACAAACTTAACCTGCCCTACTTTTACCCAGCAGGACAGGAAGTAACTAGTACCACACCCGAAACATCTTCATCTTCAACAGGTTAGTTGACGTAGTTGACCAAACTAATATGAAACACTGATATATGTGCTGGTGTGAGTCTGTGAGGTGAGCAGTATCCTTTAATTTTGACTTCCTTTCTCCTAGTGACAATAGTGCAGCCTAAAGCAACAAGAAGCTCCACCACAGGTACCCTACCAACGGTGCCTAGGATTTCTTCTTCTGCAGCTAGTACATCAGCTGAGACTACAAATCCAACAATAACCTCAAAAACCACCGTTAGGAGAACTTCACCAGCGTCTCCTCTTGTCACAATAAAGTCAACAACTGGTAAGTTTTTGGTGTTACTGTCTAAAAATTATAGTAAACCCACTGTATACACAGTTGCGATACCACTCCACCAGGCAAGTATTGCAAGCTGGCTCACCATCTGGCATAAGACTCCAAATCACGAAGCAGGAGAAGCATGCTTCCAGAAAGGAGTTTGTAAACCAGAAACGTTCAGAAGCGTAGATTGAAAGTGTGTTGAAAGATAATATATATTGACACCAGGTTAAAAACACAACCAAAAATCATTTGTGTAACTCGTGAGAAGCACATTAGAAGTTCTGTAAGCAGTCAGGCAGCTCCACTTCAGCTGGATTTATTAGGTCAGATTTGGCTTCTTTTCTTGGTTCAGTTATGCAGTTAGATCTGAAGAGCACCCAAGCTATTATCTCTGAATTATATAGCGGGCTCCGAAGAAGAATCACGCAGTTATCAATGCAGCACTTTGGCTAGGATTCTGTCCAACAGAAATTACTCACTGATCTGTGGCTAGTGGGGACTCGTAACAACATGTAGCTTCCCACCAACATGCACCTCAACTAATAAGCCATCCTGGACCCAGGCTATCAAGGAGAGCAGAGCTGAGAAAAGGTCCTGCAAGAGTCAAAACACAATGCCAAAGGCTGCCATTGTCACAGATGATTTGTGCACTGCAACAAGGAAAAGTCCTATGGCATGTTGTTAGCTAGCTTTTTAACACAAATTATAGAAAGCTGAAGCTGTGGCTGATTTGGAACGAAAGAATAGCTGATGAAATTGTCATTTGGGCAAAGCCCATGCAGACTTTAGCCATAGGTAACAACAAAGCTAACTTCTTAGAACAATAATATATAAAAAATAATCTAATACGGGAAAAATGCAGAAAGTGAAAAAAAATATATGAGACAATAGAAAACAAATAGGAATAGAGAAATATTTGGCAAGTTTACAGGAAGATAAAATTTCAGAAGATCAAGGGTAAAAATTGGGTCTCTGGAATATGGGTAGTTTCATCAATTATCTTTTTTTAATTATTTGATGAATTGATTATTCACATTATGTTTTTTGCCTTTACTCCAAAAGAACATACAACATCAATTCTCACCAGACCAAGCATGACTACAACCATCACTGCCCCTTCCGTAACTACGGCCACTAAATCAGAACCTACACCTGTTGCCTCATCAACCGCAGCTTCAACAGAGATGGAACAAGGAAGCTTCACCACACCACCCTTCAAGACCAGTAACAAACAGGAAACAACAGCCACCTCAATACCTACTCAAACCACATCTCGGATCACAACTTTCAGCAAGCCTAAACTAACAACAGGAGGTAAACATCACTTTTTTTATGTCTGCCAGGTGAAGCCATCACTCACAAGACACATGTCAAGGTATTCTTTAGAAAAAAAAAAATTATCAGGTGTTCTTAGTGGTTACTGGCTTAACATTGCAAATGGACAGGAAAGGACATGGAACCAATGAAGTGAGATTAAAATGGAAGTTTATGTGTCTTGCCAATGGAGCAAGCACCTGACATCCAAACACCATGCTAAACCTAACATTTGTCTTTGAGACCATATTCTACGCTTCTTTGAAATTCAGGCAAAAATCTTCCTATGCTTCAAAGTGAGTTCTTGAAAACTCCCAGACAGTGGAATATGTGTTTTCCCTAGCCAATGTAACAATTTTTTCCAAAAATAAATATTATAAAAAAGAATTAGACTCCAGGATGTCAGGTTCTCAACATAGTTGAGACCATGACATCTTGGTAGGGCTCCCTCCTGATTTTCCTGGTGCTCTGCCTGCTAGCTTCAAGCTCCTGCTGTTGTCTCCTAAGTGGCACGTCCCACACAATTTTGGTATTTGTTTGCAGTTCCCACTGCTCTTGCTGTGGGACTCCTGGGTCCCAGGCAGGTCCTGGGACTCACTCACACACGACTGTGGCTACGTCCTCTTCCCTTTCCACTTCAGGGGCTTGGCTCAGGCCCTTATCAACCAGGAGGAGATGCCACAACATGCTTTGCCTAGAATCCTTCCCAAGACCCAACTGTTCTTTTCTCTCATCCCTTTCTTTGTAGCAAGGGGGCCAACCAGAGCTAAGACTCCAACTAGTAAAGTAGTAACAGGTGAGTGCTCTAGTCAGGAGAGAGCTAAGAGCCAACCATGGCCAATGCCTGTCCCTTCAGTAGCCACAGCTCTCCCATGGATCCTTTCCAGCACAGCCTGCAATTCTCAGAAGAATCAGGATGGGATGGGACATACTGTGGGTCATAACCACATTCATTCCTCTTTAAACCACCCAGAATTAGTGGGATCACTTCTGCCTTACTTGCCCGTACCATGACACGAAGTTTCTACCCCAGAACTACCCACATCACCCACCTTCCCTCTTACCTGGACACCCTCAACTGACCTTTGCTTTTCTCCCTTGAGCCTTCACCCACAAAAAGACAACTGTGTCACACATTCTGCCGCCTCTGACCACACAGAGGACCACCGCTACCACCTCCACCAGCAGCACTTCCAGGACCTCAGTCTCCACAGAGGCCACCTCCGCCAGCAGCACAGAAGTCCCTCTGACAAGCACATCTCCAGGTTCCAGCAACCCTCCTGCCCCCAGCAGCCCCCTCAGCACCCGGCTGCCCCCTGCCACCACATCCATGGTGTCCTCCACATCAGCCCCAACCACCAGCGCCACATCCACACCTATGACCATAAGGCCCAAGCCTTCTTCCCCAATGACAAGTGCTCAGAAAGAGTCACTTGCACCAGAGTCCTCGGCTTCCTCCACAGCCAAAACCAGCCCGCTGCTCTCACCTGCTTCTTCTCCATCGTCGACTGAGTCCTCAGCGTGGCCAAGCTCCTTACAGACCCGTAAGGCTCTTTCACGACCCTCCTGATGCTTCTGCCTGCTGGTCCCAGCTCTCACTCCTCCTCTCTAGCAGTGCCAGCCCCTCAGGCTAATGTGGTACTTGCCCTCAGTTGCCACTTTGTTTGGCACCAGCGCTTGGGCGAGGACAGCTTTGGCTTGGCCCCAGGCACAGGTCTCTCTGACAGAACCTTGCTGCCAGCCGGAGAGGGGGCAGAAGAAACAGTGTCCCTGTTTCCCTGCAGGGAGACACACACAGCCAGAGAGGTTCCTCTTCCAGGGAGAGGGACAGAGTGCTCACGCAGTGGAAAGCACCTCCATGTGCTGTCCATGTTCTCCCGCTGTGGAGGAGAAGCCAGACAGGGAGGCTGAAGGCACGAGCCAGAGACCCACTGCACCCTCTTGCTCAGCAAAATGCTGCCTTTCCTCCATGTGGCGCTGGCTGGGGATTCCGACACCTCCTTTGCTTTCCCCTCTTACCTGG